GATTTTTGACTTCAAATGGGAATCTGTGAGCAAAGGGAGAAAGACTCAATTAACCTGAACAGTGTTACCTCAGGACTATAAGAATAGTCCAACAATTTTTGGGAATCAGTTGGCCAAAGAATTGGAACAATGGGAAAGGCCACAGGGAGATGGCACTCTTCTACAATACGTAGATGATCTACTGATAGCAACTGAGACAGAAGAAGAGTGTGTTAAATGGACTATCTCTCTGTTGAATTTCCTGGGTTTAAGTGGATATCGAGTCTCTCAACAGAAAGCGCAACTGGTGCAAGAAAAAGTAGTATACCTGGGATATGAGATTTCCAGAGGACAACGATCCCTAGGAACAGCAAGGAAAGAAACCATCTGCCAAATGCCTAAACCAGAAACAGTGAGAGATCTACGAGCCTTTCTCGGAATGACAGGTTGGTGCCGTTTATGAATCTATCAATACGGGGTACTAGCCAAACCACTGTATGATTTATTAAAAGAAACTAAGTGTATCCTGGTCTGGACTCCCGAAGCAGAGGGAGCTTTTAGGAGACTGAAACAAGAACTCATGAGAGCCCCGACTTTGGGCCTCCCTGATGTAACAAAACCATTTTGGTTGTTCTCTCATGAATGGCAAGGGATGGCTTTAGGAGTCTTGGCACAACAGTTGGGACCACACAAAACAGCCGTGGTTTATTTCTCCAAACAGCTGGATGAAGTAAGCAAAGGATGACCCAGTTGTCTGAAAGCAGTGGTCACAGTGATCATAAACATAGAAGAGGCCAGAAAACTCACAATGGGCCAGAAAATGACTGTGTTAGTGTCCCACACTGTGTCTGCAGTACTAGAACAAAAGGGTGGTCGTTGGTTGTCACCTTCCAGATTCCTAAAGTACCAAGCAATCCTAGCTGAGTCAGACGACATAACCATTCAAGTAACTAACATTGTGAATCCAGCCTCATTTCTAGAAGGAAGAATGTCAGCAGAACCAATTGAGCATGACTGCCTGGAAACTATCGAAGCAGTCTACTCCAGCCGCCTGGATCTCAGAGAAAAACCATTTGAAGATGTAGACAACTGGTTCTCTGATGGCAGTAGCTTCGTGAAGCAAGGAGTAAGGATGGCAGGCTATGCAGTCACCACAACGGAAGAGGTAATCGAATCAAATCCTTTACCTGCAGGGACCTCAACCCAAAAGGCAGAACTAATAGCTCTCACCCGAGCTCTGGAATTGGCAGAAGGCATACGAATTAATATTTGGACAGACTCTAAGTATGCCTTCTCCATCGTCCATGCTCATGGAGCAATTTGGAAAGAAAGAGGACTGCTAACTGTTCAAGGGAAAACAGTCAAACATGCAGAAGAAATTCTACGATTGTTAGAAGCAGTCCAACTCCCAGCACAAATGACCATAATGCATTGTAAGGGACACCTGAAAGGTAACACTGTTCCAGAAATAGGAAATAGGAAAGTTGATGTAGAAGCTAAATTAGCTGCCGCAAGGTCCAAAGAAGTGATTATAACAGTTTTAGTACCAGGGGAACTAGATACTAACTTTCAACCGGATTATCAGGAATCAGATCATAGGTGGATTCAAAGGAACAAAGGCAAATTGTTAGACAATGGATGGGGTCAATTGGAAACAGGACAACTAATAATACCAGGGAAATTAATGTGGCAATTTGTAAAAACAGAACATGAAAAGGTCCATTGGAGTTTAGATCCACTTTATCAGTATTTGCAAGCTAGAATAGCAGGACCAAAATTATTCACTACCATAAAACAAGTTACATCCCAATGCCAACGATGCCTGAAGAAGATACAGGGACCAAGATACACCAAGGAGCAATAAATCGAGGTAAATTCCCAGGTGAAGTATGGTAAATTGATTTCTCTGAACTCCCAAGAAAAGGGGGGTATCGGTACCTATTGGTTCTTACTGATATGTTTTCTGGGTGGCCTGAAGCGTTCCCCTGCAGGACAAACAAAGAGAGAGAGGTAACTAAAGTCTTATTAAATGAAATCATACCACGGTTTGGGGTACCAAAAAGTATTTCTTCAGACAGAGGTTCACATTTTTGTGCAAAGGTTGTGAGAGCAATAAGCAAAGCATTGCAGATTAAATGGCAATTGCATACGCCTTACAGGTCATAAGCCAGTGGACAAGTAGAAAAGATGAATCATCTTATCAAACAACAAATTGCTAAAATATGCCAAGAAACTAATTTACAATGGTATCAAGCTTTGCCTATTGCTCTGATTAGATTGAGAGTCAAACTTCGATCAAAAGAAAAGTTGAACCCGTTTGAAATTCTGTATAGTATGCAAATATGCTATGCAAATTGTAAATAGCGATACTATAGATCAAATAGGTAATCAGTATATATATGATTATGCAATCGCTGTAGGAAAACATTTTGATAAAAACACCACGGTAGTAATAGAACACCAACCCAAACAACCTAATTGTAAACTGCATCCGTTTAACCCCGGTGATTGGGTGTATGTTAAGAATCTTTTAGGAAAACCCCTACAAGAGAAGTGGGAGGGACCTTTCCAAGTGCTGTTGACCACCTTCACTGCAGTTAGGATCAAGGAGCGACCTACATGGATTCACTATTCTCGAGTCAAGAAAGTTCCAGAAGATAAGCAGGAAGACCCGACATCATGAATCCGGCTCCTTCTCAAACCCTTTCAACATTGACTATTGGACTTTTGATAAGTATTGTTTTATTCCAAAACCGTACTCCAGAAGGGTCGTGGTCTAGTGCACGCACACTACCACGCTCTGAGGAAAACCCAGACTTTGAGGTTTACGTCTTACATAACAATCAACCCTATACGATAGATGAATGGGATAGCAGAACCTATTTCATAGCGCAAAAGGGAGACCAAATTCAAGTAGGGTGTCGAGAGGTCGATGCCCTAGTGGGGAAAACAAACAAATATTGACAATTGAATCTTGGCAAGAAGTCTCTAGACAGAACTTAATTACTTACAACCAAGTAGAAGATGAAAAACCCATTGTCTGGGTTCAACGGAAGGGACCAGTCTCATGTCAGTGGGATAGTATTGAAGGAGGTAGAGTACAGTGTGAAATTATGTTCAAGCTAGATAAATCGATGTGGTTTTCATGTAGCAGAGAAGTTAAGATTCTTGAACCTATTGGTGAACAAGGCATTGTAACTGGTAGAGCCTTTAAGCGAGTCATTAGACTAGCGACAAACCTAACCGCAGACCCGTCTTGTGAAACCACTCCACCTCTAGAATGTAGAAAAATGCATAATTTAACCTTTATAGGACCTCAAGTAATAAGACAATCGAAAGAACTAAAGCTGCTGTTAGATCCTACATATTCTCTGAAGAAAGTATGGATAAACATTCAGACAGACATTACACATTTACAGGAAGATTGTCAACCGTTTATACAGCAAAGCCTCAAAGGTTGGAATGCTTGGTTAGCAACTAGGTCATACCACAAACGAACACAAAGAGATATAAGTGGATGGGTTGGTACGGGGTTTGGCATATTAAACACTATAGATCAAGAAGTATTAGTAAATAAGTTAAGTACTGTCACTTCTAATTTGGGAAAGTTTAAAGTGCCTTTAAGCTCATCTATGCTCACCCTAGCAGAGACACAATCACTGGTAGTTAGATTGATGACCTTAGTAGCCAACCACACTGATGAAGATTTTGTTAAAATTACTGACTATACTGGAGATATTAGCAAAGAAATTGCACTTACTATCCAGTGTGTTCAGACACAATCGTGGGTACAATCAGTGGCAGCAGGAATATTGAGAGAAGGAATGTCAGGTGTACTACCTCAAGAAATAAGAGAGACAATACTAAGGGATAGTTCCACTACACAATTTGAAAAAGACCACCAGGTTTGGTGGCAACTAGTAAACTTTACTTATGATCCACAGAAAGAACACATTGAAACCTATGTCCTCACTATCAGCGCTGCAGAAGAAAGAGTAATATTTCCTATTTTAACATTAGGATCTATACATCAGAATGTCATTGTCAAACCTGTAGACCATAACGTCTGGGCAAACTATGACAGTGCTAAGAACAAGTGGCAATCAATTAGTACAGAAGCATGTATCCCTAAAGGACAATTAGGTTATATTTGTGAAAATGCCATTATAGAAGCTGAGGATTTATGCTTAGATGCTGAAGACAGTTCAATCACAAGTATTCTATATAGGGAATGGATGCACTTGTATTAGAACCACTTGCAATGATATCACTATAGATAATTGTTATGAAATGACTAACGATACTAACTTTTGCATATGTAACTTCACTAAAGTTATAGGTTGTGACTTTAACTACACCGCTCCCATAACTACCCAGCAGTTAATCAAAGCTGAATATACTTTATATCATGAGATACCAAAGCTACAGATAGGTATGGATACTAAGCTTCTCAAAGAAATGCTCGTACATCCTGAAGTGGAGAAGTTAGTTCAAAAGGTGAACCAAATGACTCAACGCATACTGTGGCAGGTAGAACATAATTCAAAAGGTATAAAGAATATCCTAACAAAAGTTGCACAAGTAGGTCAACATCACTGGTGGGATATCTTCACAGGATACTCCCCAACAGCAGCACAAGTTTTTCACTACCTGATACACCCAATATTAATTATAACCATGACCATGCTCCTGTTAACCCTCATGAATATATGCCTGTGGTGTAAGTTAGAGTCCATGGTCAAAAGAACCCAAAAAATCTGGGCGATGGTACAAGCATATCAACGCCCTCTAGGATTAGAACTTGATGAAAGAATTCGTAAGTTTTAAGAAAAGGGGGGAAATGAAGCCATGTAAAACCTGGAAAGCGAATTTAGTAGAGCAATACAAGGATTAGAGAGTTAAACACAAAATGCGGGTTTTAAGCAAAGGCATAGAGAACTTAGTATTAAGAAACAGGGTAGGTAATAAATTCACTAGAATACAGGACACTCTGACATGAAAGAACATAAGCATGAACAGAAAGAACTAAAAATGCTAGCACACACAAAAAAGGTGTCCTAGTTAGAACAACTGGGACCGATTCATCACTGGATGGGTGTAGTCCAAAACTGTGTATTCTACAGCCTTCCATGGCATTTCCTAGAAACTGTTGTCAGTAGAGGTCTGCGAGGTGGGGGGATGTTCCTGTCCTCATGCCCTTTTATGGAATTCCCCACTCTGAGGGAAGGACTAAACATCCTTTTATGGAATTCCCCGCTCTGGGGGAGGGACTGAACATTCCTGCCTGAACTGGAGAATATATAAACCTGGAGTTTCAGAACCTTTCCACCACTCGTGGGATCCAGAGGAGGACTGCAACTCACCGCTCTCAACCAGACTGCAGCTCACCGCTCTCAGCCGGACTGAGACCACCACCCTCAACTGGACTGCAATCACCACTTTTGTCCGGACTGCAGCAGCTCTCCCACCAGCAGGATTTTCCCCTCTCCCTTTGTTTTGGACTCGGGGAGGGAGAGCACCGCTTTGTTTGTGCCCCGGGGTGCTGGGTTGTACATTTGGGCTTTGTGGGTTAGGGTCTGTTGCTTGTCTGTGTGGTCATGCTTACTGTATTATTTTATTAAATTGTTATTCTAACTTGTAATCTCTCTTTTGAGTTGGGTTGGTTTCCCCTGCTGGTTAACTTTTAAACCAGCACATTTTTGGCACCCAACGTGGGGCAGAGAGAGCGAAGTCAAAATCACAATTTCATTTTAAGCATTTGTCTATTTGGATATAGAAACTCCCTGATCACCATGTTGTTTGATGCATTCACGTGGATGTTGTATCTGAGTCTGTTCATATTTCCACAGATGGGGTACTATTTACCTGTTTTGATACTCTCTTTAAAACCAGGGAGAGGGATCCAAATTGCTTTATTAGTATACTATACGTATTTCATCATAACATTAGAAGCAATGAGTTTCATTGTAAATGTGTATTCAGTCCTGTTTACCTGTCCTGGTTTGAGTTGCTACCTCTGGGACCTCATTAAAAATTACACCCAGCCCTTTGGGGGAACAGGGGGGAATGGTTGTTTCCAGCCTCTCACCTCCTTCTTCCCCTTCAGACCTGCTACAACAGTTTTTGAAAATATTGAGTTCCCTTTTGATGTTAAGGACAGCATAATGTTATTGTTAGTGTTGTTTTGTCTGCTCTGTACTGTCTACACCATGTTTAGGGTTAGAACAGGGCCTTCTAGGGAGGTTGTTTGAACGCCTGCCCTGGGAGTGGATAATGCTGAATGGTACGGGAAGCAGGAGGACATCGGTCAGTATTTGGAGAAGTTTTCTCCTCCAATAATCTAGAAATTCACCCCTGAACAACTGCAGGATCCTGTTAGCCTGATAAGACTGGTGAAGGGAAAATGTTCTGGCAGTTCCAGAGATGGTCAGCTCACAGCAACCTGCTAGGCCCTGACCACTGCCTACCGGACACTACTTGACATGGTACAGCACTGTCAGGGGGAGGAGAGAAGGAGCAAATCCACAGGCACCACGTCCACCCAAACCGCAGTTGAGTCAGAGGGAGAAAGAAATGAATCAACAGGCACCATGTCCACACAAACCATCGAGGAGCCAGAAGAACAACCAAAACCAATAGCAGTCACCCCTGTCCAGAAAAGGAAATCAAAGACTAAATCAGTCCGTATAGCAAATGATGACGAAGAGGCAGGACCTTCACATCCACCAGAAAAGACAGAGTCAGAAATAATCACTTGATCCCTATCCCTGGGTGAGCTACGTGAGCTCTGGAGAGAGTTCACACGACAGGCGAATGAGTCCATTCTGACCTGGTTGCTCTGAATCTGGGATGCCGCAGTTAACGATACAATCCTAGATGAGAGTGAAGCCAGACAACTGGGATCCCTGTCTCAAGATGTAGTCATTGATCAGGGGATTGGAAGGAGGCAGGAAACTCTCAACCTCTGGCGGTGACTGTTGTCCAGTGTGAGGGAGAGATACCTTTGTAAGGAGGACCTCCACGTAAAGCAAGGACAAGGTATCCGGTGCTTAAGAGAATTAGTTGTACTGGAGATAATCATTTCAGAGGATGAAAGATTCCCTAAAAGTCCAGATGGTGTACAGTGCACATCCCAGATGTGGTTAAAGTTTGCACGACTCGGGCCAGAAATGTATTCCCGCTACTTAGCAACCCTGCAATGGAGGGAGGGAGAGGACAAGGTGGGCGCGTTGGTCAGTAAACTCAGGATTTATGAAGACACTGTCACCGCCCCATTACGAGCCCACGTCTCATCTGTGGAAACCAAACTGGTCGAACATGTCCGAAGCCTGGAAGAGAAGATTGAAGAGGGACACCAGAAGCTAAGAGAAGAAATTAAGGAAGGGATCTTCCATATCGCGCCAGGACAAACAAGAGTCTCTGCTATTAGGAACTAGCGTCCCCCAGCTAAGGAGAGAGGGTACACTCCACGTGGCAATCTATAGTTTTACCTTTGTGAGCACGGAGAAGATATGAGGAGGTGGGATGGGAAACCCACCTCTTCCTTAGCAGTCCGGGTACGTGAACTGAAAAGAGGAACAAGTGCCACAAAGAACTCTTCAAGGGTAAATGCTGCTCCAGTCTCTCATGGGCAAGACTCCAGACGGTACAGGAATGATGATACGTCTGATCCTCTTGAAGGGACCTCCAGGTCATACTCACAAGAAGAGCACAATGAGTACCATGACCAGGACTAGGGGTGCCCTGCCTCTAGTCAGGTAGAAGAGAGGGACAATCGAGTCTATTGGACAGTGTGGATTCGGTGACCTGGCACATCAGAACCACAAAGATATAAGGCCTTAGTGGACACCGGCGCACAATGTACTTTAATGCCATCAAGATACATAGGGGCAGAATCCATCTCCATTTCTGGGGTAACAGGGGGATCCCAACAGTTGACTGTACTGGAAGCTGAAGTGAGCCTGACTGGGAAGGAATGGCACAGACACTCCATCGTGACTGGTCCAGAGGCCCCATGCATCCTTGGCATAGATTACCTGAGGAGTGGGTATTTCAAAGACCCAAAAGAACTTGGTTGGGTTTTTGGCATAGCTACTGTGGAGACAGAGGAAATTAGACAGTTGAACACCTTGTCTGGTCTCTCAGAGGACCCCTCTGCTGTGGGACTGCTGAAGGTTGAAGAACAATTGGTACCAATAGCCACAGTAACAGTGCACCGTCGGCAATACCGCACCGACCGAGACTCTGTAACTCCTATACATAAGATGATCCGTGAACTGGAGACCCAGGGGGTGATCAGCAAAGCTCGCTCACCCTTTAATAACCCTATATGGTCATTGTGTAAGTCCAGGGGAGAGTGGAGGTTGACAGTGGACTACCATGGACTCAATGAAGTCACACCACCCCTGAGTGTTGCTGTGCCGGACATGCTGGAACTCCAGTACGAGCTGGAGTCCAAGGCAACCAAGTGGTATGCCACCATTGACATTGCCAGTGCCTTTTCTCCATTCCAACAGAGGTGATTAACAAAATAGTAACCATGTCCCCACCAACCAGCAAGAAGGAAACACAGACTTTCCTAGGCGCTGTGGGCTTTTGGAGGATGTATATCCCCGAGTACAGTCAGATTGTAAGTCCTCTCTACCTTGTGACACAGAAGAAAAATGATTTCCAGTGGGGTCCTGAACAACAACAAACCTTTGAACAAATTAAACAGTAGATTGCCCATGTGGTAGTCCTTGGGCCAGTAAGGACAGGACAGGACGTGAAGAACGTGCTCTACAGTGCAGCCGGGAAGAATGGTCCTTCCTGGAGTCTCTGGCAGAAGGTACCTGGGGAGACCCGAGGACGACTGTTTGGATTCTGGAGTCAGGGATACAAAGGATCTGAAGCCAGCTATACACCAACTGAGAAAGAGATCCTGGCTGCTTATGAAGGAGTTCGAGCTGCCTCAGAAGTGATCGGCACCGAAGTGCAGTTCCTCCTGGCACCCCGACTAGCAGTGCTGGGTTGGATGTTCAAGGGAAGAGTTCCTTCTACACATCACGCCACCGATGCCACATGGAGTAAGTGGATCGCTCTGATCACACAGCGAACCCGGATAGGGAATCCTAATCACCCTGGGATTCTGGAAATTGCACCAATTGACCCGAAGGTGAGAGTTTCGGACTGTCCTATGAAGAAGACGAGGAGCAGGTAACACGGGTTGAGGAGGTCCCACCATATGACAAGCTACCAGTAGATGAAAGGCGATATGCGCTCTTCATGGATGGCTCCTGTTGCACTGTAGGGGCAAACCGAAAATGGAAGGCAACCGTATGGAGTCCCACACGGCGAGTTGCAGAAGTGACCAAAGGACAAGGTGAGTCAAGTCAGTTTGCAGAGCTTAAAGCCGTTCAGTTGGCTTTGGATATAGCTGAATGAGAGAAGTGGCCAAGACTCTATCTCTACACTGACTCATGGATGGTGGCCAATGCTCTGTGGGGATGGCTGGAGCGATGGAAAAAGGCGAACTGGCAGTGCCAAGGGAAACCCATCTGGGCAGCAGAGATGTGGCAGGACATCGTTGGTCAGATAGAGAAGCTGAGTGTGAAAGTCGGTCCCGTAGATGCTCATGTACGCAAGAAACGGGCTAATGAGGAGCATCGTAACAATGAACAGGCGGACCGAGCTGCCAGGATTAAAGTCTCTCAGGTAGATCTGGATTGGCAGCACAAAGGAGAATTATTTCTGGCTCGATGGTCCCATGACACCTCCGGTCACCAAGGGAGTGATGCAACATACAGATGGGTTCGTGACTGAGGGGTGGACTTAACCAAGGACATTGTCTCACAGGTCATCCATGACTGTGAGACATGTGCTGCCATCAAACAGGTCAAGCGGGTGAAACCTCTATGGTATGGTTGACGGTGGTCGAAGTACAGGTATGGGGAAGCCTGGCAAGTTGACTACATCATGCTCCCCAAAACCCGCCAAGGCAAGCACTACGTACTGACCATGGTAGAAGGAAGTACTGGATGACTGGAGACATACCCCGTGCCTCATGCCACTGCCCGGAATACCATCCTGGGTCTCAAAAAACAAGTCCTGTGGCGACATGGCACTCCGGAGAGAATTGAGTCTGATAATGGGACCCATTTCAAGAATGGCCTCGTAGACACCAGGACCAAAGAGCACGGCATTGAGTGGGTGTATCATATCCCCTACCATGCACCAGCGGTTGGAAAAGTTGAGCGGTGCAATAGACTGTTGAAAACCACCCTGAAGGCACTGTGTGGGGAGACTCTTAAACACTGGGAGCTGCATTTAGCAAAGGTCACCTGGTTGGTCAACACCCGAGGCTCCATCAATCGAGTTGGCCCTGCCCAATCAGAACCTTTGCATACTGGAGATGAAGTCCCTGTGGTGCATATGAGAGGAATGTTAGGGAAGACTGGATTAGTCCCACCTCAAGCGAAGGCAAACCCATCCGAGGGATTGTTTTTGCTCAAGGACCTGGTTCCACCTGGTGGGTAATGCAAAAATATGGGGAGACACGTTGTGTACCACAAGGGGACCTAATTTTAAGTGAGAATGGTCTGTAATGTTTCATGGTATATATATATATATAAGTGTATATAGTTTTAAGGAGACATAGTTTTTAAGGGGGTTAATTTATGCATGACATGGATGGCATAGAATAAGGGGTGGATAATGTCCTAGTTAGAACAACTGGGACCAATTCATCACTGGATGGGTGTAGCCCAAAACTGTGTATTCTATAGACTTCCATGCCTTTTCCCAGAAACTGTTGTCAGTAGAAGCGTGCGAGGTGGGGGGATGTTCCTGTCCTCATGCCCTTTTATTGAATTCCCCACTCTGAGGGAAGGACTGAGCATCCTTTTATGGAATTCCCCGCTCTGGGGGAGGGACTGAACATTCCTGCCTGAGCTGGAGAATATATAAACCTGGAGTTTCGGAACCTTTCCACCACTTGTGGGATCCAGAGGAGGACTGCAGCTCACCGCTCTCAGCCAGAATGCAGTTTACCGCTCTCAGTCAGACTGCAGCTCGCTGCTCTCAGTCGGACTGAGACCACCACCTTTGGTTGGACTGCAATCACCACTTTTGGCCGGACTGCAGCAGCTCTCCCACCAGCAGGTTTTTCCCCTCTCCCTTTGCTTTGGACTCGGGGGGGGGCCCAGGGAGCACCGCTTTGTTTGTGCCCCGGGGTGCTGGGTTGTACATTTGGGTTTTGTGGGTTAGGACCTGTTGCTTGTCTGTGTGGTCATGCTTACTGTATTATTTTATTAAATTGTTATTCTGACTTGTAATCTCTCTTTTGAGTTGGGTTGGTTTCCCCTGCTGGTTAACTTTTAAACCAGTACAAAAGGACATATAGAAGAGAAACAAAGGGAGATAAGAAAAGGGACGAACCAAGAAATCAGGTACTCTTGCCAGACACTGGAAATCCCTGCCAAATGCACAAGAAAACTATCCAAATTAGGGAAGGTTCAAAAGTTTATGAAGATGATGATGAAAGGACACTGAGTTCATGAAGAAGAAAAACAGGAACGACCAACGAAGTTCTCCCCAAATAAAGACCATGCCTCTAACTCCGCCTGTTATGAATATTAAAAGTAGATGTTGCAATATAATGAATATTCATAATGTGTGATGTAATTGCTTGGCAAAAAGTGTATAAAAAGTTCAGTTGTAAGTTACTCGAGTGGAGTAGTTTGTCCAGGGTGACCTGGGCTGCTCCCCGGTCGTAAATAAATACCTCCTGCTTATAGACTGAAAATTCTGTCTCTGAGCAGTTTCTCCACGCCTTCTTTGGGGCACAAATTGACATCACTTGCTTGGTTTCTTATACATCTATGGTAAACTTTATAAGACTTTCTTATATTCCTAAAGGGTAGTGCAACTTGGAGAAAAAACTTTATTAACTTAGGGGTCTTAGCTCAACTGTGTAAACTTATAATCTTTATTAATCTGAGAGTTTTAAATAACTGGGGAGTTCAACTTTATTTAAGAAACAGGTTAAGTTTAGCAAACTAAATTCTCTTAAAGTGACCATGTGGTGGAGGTAGTGTTATTTTGTGAAGTGTTTTTTGTTTCATACATTTGTCCAGTCAAACAACTCTTATTCATTCACGCTGTCATTCACTGACGGCTGTCATTCCATTCATCACACACACATTCACAGATTTTTACAGACTGCTTTTTGCCACACTGGTCGTCCCTAAATGTAAACATGAAACATAAACATTACTCTTTTATAACTTCTGCATTACTCTGGTTCTTGCTGCTGTGGTTGTGTACCTAGGTGGGGTCTAACACACCTGGAAGGAATCTATTTAAGCTCTTTTCCTGCAACCACACAGGCGTAACCTCGTCCCCAAGTGACGAGATCTAACGGTCTCGTCCACTGTCCTGAAATCAAGTTTCTTACCATGACCGGTGGTTTGGGAGAGGCAAGAACCTGAGGCTTGTACTGCTTTTCATGCCTACTTCTTTCAACGTTGTCACAATTTAAAAAATTGATAACATATGTGGCTTTCCACAGATGCTCTTGCAGGCTACACAGATTCCTCCCTTTTTTTGTTTATCGAACATGTGTTTCAGTGTGTGATGTGCCCTTTCAATAATTGCTTGTCCAGTTGGTAAGTGTGGGATACCCGTGACGTGAAATTCTCCATTCTGACAGGAAATTTCTTACCTTTTCTGAGATAAAAGCTGGTTCATTATCGGTCTTGATCTGTTTTGGGGTACTAAGGGTAGCAAAACAACTGAACCAGTGCCTAATGACATCCTTGGCCTTTTCCCCTGCATGTGCTGTGGCGGTTATGTATTGGGAATGTGTATCTATTTACATGTACATATTTAACGTGTCAAATTCGGAGATGTGTGTGATATCTGTTTGCCAAATCTCATTTGCCATTAACCCTCTGGGGTTAACGCCTTTCTGAGATGGCATGGGTGTGATTTTCTGACAGTCTGGGCATGACATGATAATGTCTCGAGCCTGATTGAGTGTTATCTGAAATTGTCTCTTCAGAGAACATGCATTCTGATGGAAAAATGAGCGAGACAATTTTGCTTGCTTTAAGACTCTAGGTATGGTGTTAAACATTGCTGTTTTGTCAGCCTCTTGGTTTCCGTCAGCTATTGACCCTGGCATGTCAATGCGTGACCTTGTGTGCATTATATAGAAAACAAACCTATGATTCACAAGAAACAAAACAGAACGGGTGAGGGTTAACAATATCTTGAAGAAATGAACTCTCGAGACGGGAGACTAACTTTGCAGTATAACAGGAATCGGTAACAATATTAATAGGTTGTCAGAAAATTTCCCCAAGGCAATGGAATGGTAGCCAGTTCCAGAACCTGTACAGAACTTTGGTTCATGGTCTGTACCTCTCGTTCCCATCCTGTATCAGGATTTATCCAAGTCACTGCAGCCTTTTGTGTTCTTCCCAGATGCATGTGTGAAAATTGTGAGACCTTTTACTGGTTCATGTTTGCATCTGGTTGTGGTTTTTAAAGGTAAACTACTGATTTTTGCCCACAATCTGTTTGTAGGGAGATGAATTGAGATATCACCGTCAAGCCCGCCAGGGCAGTCTGGAATCCTGTGTCCTCAACTGGCATCCAAACGAAGTTGTCCTTTGTAACTGGGATGTAGATGACAGCAGGGTCTCTTCCGTCTAATTCTTGCAATCGTCCTCTGCCCTTAATGACAAGTTTAGTAAACATTTTGTTAGTAGTTCACACAGTTTTAGGTGGTGTGTGGGGCAGAAACAGCCACTTAGAATTTGCAGTGAGTCTTTGTCAGTCTGATCCCACTGAAACAAGACTGCAAATGGCTGGTACCTGCTGGGAACAAGGGCTAGGCAGATTTGCAGTTCAGGATTTCTCCTTCTGCCTTGTCTGCTCTCTATTGCCTTTGCACAAATGTCTAACGCCTGCTTTGCCTCTGCTGTCAGAGACCTGTTAGATGTTAGATTGGAGTCCCCCTTTAGCAGCTCAAATAGAGGTTGTAGCCCCTCTGGGGTTATGCCTAAAACAGGCTTTAACCAACTGATGGCTCCCAGAAGTTTTTGCAACTCATGTGAAGTTAAAGTGTTTTTTACCTCGAGCTGCAGTGGTTGTGGAGAAGTTTCTGGCTGCATGATTTCCCATCCAAGGTAAGTCCAGGGTTGTGATGGTTGGATCTTCTCTGGAGCAACTTGTAACCCTGCATCTTGGACAGTTTTGATTAGAGCAGTAAGAGTAAATGGTCATTCATTCTTTGTGGTCGTGGTTATTAATATGTCATCTACATGATGGTGTATGATAGCTGTTTGATTTCTCGTCGGGCTGTTTTGCATCCCCTGAGGAAGGACAACCCAGCAATAACTTTGCATGGGCTGTGCATTGTTCAAGGCCATGATGGAAAAGGTAAACCTTGGTGCATCCTCAGGGTATAGGAAGATGGTAAAGAAACAGTCCTTTAAATCAATTACCACTAGTGGCCAATTTGCTGGGAGCATAGCGGTTGAGGGCAGTCCTGGTTGCAACGTTCCCATTGGTTTTATGACTGCGTTTACTGCTTTTAACATTTGCAGCATCCTCCACCTCTCACTTTTTTTTGGGGTGCAAAATACAGGGGTATTTTTGGGGCTGGTTGTTGGCACATTGTGGCTTGCTTCAAGCTGCTTCCTCTCTTGTTCATGAAAGCGGGTGGCAGAGAGGAGGATAGCGAGCAGCATGGCAGCAAGCTGTGCGATGCTCATGGCGTGACCCTTGCCTCGCCCATGGCACCCTTGGTAGAACTCAGTCCATTCCCTGCTGTTTAGGTACTTGTGGGATGTTGCTGCTAAGGGTCTCCAAGGACAATCCCTTTGAGAGTGGTTAGGGTCACCACATCTAACACAACTTGCTCTGTGTCTGACCTCTTCTTTTACTCCTAACTGGGCTCTTAGAGCTGTAGTAAAAGGGGCAGACTGGTGCTCCACAGAGTTAACTCTTTGGTAGGGTCGAACCAGCTCAGCAGTGCTGTAGCACTCCCCTTCAGAAAGGGCCTGCAAAGCTCTCTTACAGTCTGTGTTCACCTTTCAAAAGCCAGTTGCCTATACAGCATCTCTCTGGTTTTATTGTACTCAACTTGCTTGTTTAAAGCAGATTGCAGCCGATCTAAGCATCATGAATTTGGTTCAGTACAACCTTGTAACACTTTTGTGGGGAACAGGTTGCTATCTTGGTCTGTAGTGGGAGGGTTTTTCATGGCTTTCAAGGTCTGTTTGGCTATTGCTCTATACATCTCTCTATGGTACTTAGATTGTGCATCTATTGAACTATAATTTCTATCCCCGGTAACTGGTTTGTTGTTATGAGTGCTTGGGTGTTAGTTGCATACTTAGCACAACTCTTTTAAAAGTCAACCAACCAGACTGTATACTGGGTGTTATTAAGAACTAATTTCATTAGATTCTTCCAGTCATGTGGGGTGAAAAAATAGATGGAACTCAATGTCTCCAAATACTTGAAAGTACTGGTTAGGGACATGCCAGTACCTCTTACCAACTGCCTCAATTTCTCTGTAGCCTCATATGACAGAGGCTGAAATTGAGGGGGCTGACGTTGACTAGTATCGATTGAGCATGCCTGAATATCCTTCTAACCTCTCACTTGAAATGCCTCATCCGGACATTGTTCCCACTTGTTAGCTGACCTTCCCCTGTTTGCCTCTTCGCTCCCTCCCGCTGGAACCATCCCTGGTCCCTCCTCCTCATCCCCCTTTACCTCCCCCCCATGGTTCCAGTGAGTTCAGTTCCCTGTCGGGGGATGGTGCTGGGTGGTGGAGGCTGCATGGTTGAGGGGCCTCCCTCCTGGTCGTGCCTATGGGCGAGGCAGGACGGCTTTGGGACCGGAAGAGAGGGATGGGCTTCTGTTCCAGTTTGGCGGGCAAGATGGCTGCGCCCAGTCTGAAACACGTGGTCACTGTTCATTCGCAGCGTGGGGGGGCAGATGGGTTACTTTCCTCATCACTGTAACAGAGCCCCTTGCGTTGATCTCATGACTTGGGATCCCGCATTTCAGGCTCTGTTCCCTCCCAGCGACCCATGTTCCTGTGGTTCCCGGTTCCCGACCCATGATTTAACTCACGAACAGCTCCTTTCTCTCCCCCCAGTACATCTCCTGCGTTTCTGTTACTATGCCTGGGGGTTGTACTGCTGCTAGCAGTGTGAGCAGGGAGTGGGGTGTGGGTTAATTGTTTCATTTGCTTGTGTGCCTTGTGGAGGGCAGACATTATCACTGAGTAAACTGATACTGTGTTGCAAGTTCCGCGTTCCCCTGCCTCGGTCCTTTGGTTTAGAATGTGTCCCAGTGTTTCCCATGTGTTTAAATGTAACACTTCTGTTAGCGGGAGTGCGGGGTGTACAGACCTAATAAATCTTATTAATTCTGGTAATTCTACCTTTGTAGTTTGAATGTGGTAAGATTTTAGCAGTAAAGTTAATGCTTCAATGTCTCGTGAGGTTTCCATGGAGACAAAACTCCCC